TAACTATACCTCAATTATTAAAACAAACTGCACCCAATTCTATTCTATCTCCAATTTCATTTATCTTAAATTTCATTCCACACCTCTACAATTTTATTCTACACCTCTCCAACTCACTCTATAATTTTTTGTAGTAAATCCAAACAAGGTGGTTCTATCCAAAGAATCTAGTGACATACTCATTCTCGACTAAAATCAACAATCAAGCGAGATGCATGAACCCGTTTTTGATAACCAACACGAGTACACAGAATGTTAAAAGTCAAAGAACCGGTTGCAAAAGGAATAAGTGGCTTTGGCTAAGACATATGCCGATATTTATGAAGATAAGGCACACATAAATTAACAAAGATCCAAGGCATTTTGGGTGTGGGTTCGAGAACATTTTAATGTTCAATTGGGAGGTTCGAATCGGACAAAGCACCAAGTATGTTCAAAATGGAAAGATCTTTAAAATAAAAATAAAGATTTTAATAGCATCTACAATCGTAAGATGAATAGTCTAGCTAACGGAGATCCGAGGTCGATGTTTTTAACGATTTACAAAGGCTACTTTAGAGACTTAATAATCATAAAACTTTTCCCCATGAAAAAACTTGTGAGTACTTCCCATGTCAAACTTGTGATATTTTGAAACACCAAGTGAAATGGTTGCATGTAAAAAAGTTGGTGAAGACTCCCTGCCTCCTTCATCAAAACGAACCAAAACATCTTCATCCAATATCTACATAACATCTTTCGATTCACAATTTTACATGGATTCAGCCAACAACCAGATATGTTTCATGTTGAAGAATCACCGCCTCAAAGACAAGAAAAATGAAAGAAAGTGACATATGCATCCTCATAACCGAATGTAATAATTGACATCGTTAATGAAATTATCAGCATCCACACCATAAAACATAACGAATGTGGAAGAGAGAATACGATATTGGGATGAAAAATTACATCTTATACGAGAAACTGGGAGATAAAGGCCCAATATATATAGTTTTTTTTTTTTCCAATCCGCATTATCATTTGACCGAAACTTTTGTTCATAGTGATTGAAGGGACTAAAGCTGTAACATTTGCCACCTTAAATCAAATTTTTTAAACTATGATCAGATCTATAAAAAGATGTAGGTGCTCTTTGTTTTTTTTATAAAAAACTACTTCAGACCTCTTATTGTTACGCGAAGTAGCACACGCGCAACACTTTTGATTTCGCAGTTGTTTGTATTTTAAAAGTATTCAGAGTAAAAAATCTTTACACGTGTTCTGTTTGACGCAACATTTGTATTGCTTCTTCCAACCTCTTTTAACCTTTTCTTCTTCTTTTTTATAGCTGAAATCTTGATTATATGTTGCTGAAATATTATTTTAATTTTTGTTTTTTTTTTTTTATTCTTGATTTTTTTTTTTGTTTTTTATATTAAATAATAATAATTTCTTGATGAAATATTATTATTTTTTGTTGAAATATTATTTTTGCTGAAATATTATAAATTATTGTTGAAATGTTATAAATTATTAAATTTTCGGTATTAAAAACTATTCTCGATTTATAAAATTAGTTTATTTTAATTTTTTAATATTTGTAGCAACATGCAGATGTTAAAAAAAAAACATACTTCTTATTACAGTCTGCAACCGTTTGATCTATCTCTTCTACTATATAAAATTGCACACACAGATTTAATGAATTTTCGCTTCAGAAAAACAAATACCACCCTAACAATGTCAAAATTTCTTAAACTATGATGAAACGTATAAAATGATTTATACGCACAAAAATGTAATTTAACATGTGTTTGGCAGCCATAAACTAACTTATTTTTGTCAAATAAACAAACAGCCTAATTAGTTTGTACAAAAACTGCTCTTCGACGTCAGCAATCAATTTTGGGTCGGTTTGACAATCGTGGTTAACAACGCCGCTAAGCATTGGTATCATCGAACAGGGAAAATTAATAACTCGCATAATCGCCACCACCTTCTCCTCGATTTCTTTGTTTCTCCATTCTCTCTCTCTCTCTTCCCCTCCACACTCGGTGATCTCTATTGCAAATCTGAAAACATGACTACACTATCAAACTCCCTTGTTTTACCCATGAACAAACCAAATCATTTATCATCAGGTATCGTTACTCATTCGCAAGCATTACTGTTATTGCTCTTTCAGTTGAATCGTTGTTGTTTCACTTTTCCTTTTATTGATTCATCGTGACAAGTTTATGATTACGGATTGATTTTTGTGGGGAGTCCTTTACTCCATTTCTATTTCCTCAATTTATCTCGTTTTCATGCATTGCTAGAGATTTCAAAACCCTAACATCTGCATTGCTCATAGCTCCCGTATCACTTCCCAATTTGCAAAAAAAGGTCTGTTTTTACCTAAAATTTAGGAATGTTGGATATCCGTGGAGCTTTTTTTATACCAATAAATCATTAGATATGTTTGGATATGCTTATTTAAAGTGATTATAGCGACTTCAAGAATCAAATCAGATAATCATTTTCTACAATTTTGATCTCATGGTAGATTCGAAGTCGCTTGACCAGAGTACCAAATTGTCGTTTGGACAAACCCATGTGAGTAAAGTACAATTACACACATCTAAAAGAACACTCTCCATTCAAGCAAGATATAGGTACAAATTTGCCCTCGTTTTCTCTTTTCTTTCCAAATTTTCATTTCTTCCATTGTCAAGTTATTGTTTTATTCATCTCCAGTGATGATGGAAGATCCAACAATGGGAAAGCCTTTGTTGGTGGCTTTGTTCTTGGTGGATTAATTATTGGCACACTTGGTTGTGTGTATGCACCTCAGGTTAGCTTATTAAACTTAGCATGATCCTAATCCTATGATTTGTATAAACTTTGTACTTAATTAAATTTAAAAGCATAATCTTGATTTAAACCAGATAAGCAAGGCGTTATCTGTAGCTGGAACTGACAAAAAGGAGTTGCTGAAGAAGCTGCCTACATTCATTTATGATGAAGAAAAAGCTTTGGAGGTTTTTACTAATACAATCTGTTTTCAAACTTTTTGTATGATATTGTTGTAAACATATATAATCTATCTGAATTTGTTATGTTTTTTTTTTGTTCAGAAAACACGGAAAAAGCTAACAGAGAAGATAGCACAGCTGAATGATGCCATTGATGATGTGTCTTCGCAGTTGAAATCAGACGATGAGGAGTCAATTGGAAATGGTGCTGTTGTTCCTGAAAAGACTCGATCTGTTGCTTGAGTATACTATTTTTGTGTTTTTGTCTTTTTCACAGATGTTTGATGCTTGTTTTAAGAAATAATAGTGGACGTATGTTATTGGGTATAAAAGATATAAGTACTCGATATATAAATTTGTGGATGCAAATGTTGCTTTGATCATCTTGTAATACATTATACATGTAATGTTTTGGGTGTTTTTTGTGGTAAAATCGTTTAATAGAGCTAGAATATGGTTAAAATTTGTTCATAGAATAAAAGTGGCTGAAAATATGCCGCTTTTTAAATTATATGGTCCAAGTTTTTTGTTCATGTTATCATAATTTGGATTGGTGGTGCCCTAAGCTAAAAGAGCTGGTGGGACCGACTTTGGTACACATGGATGTGGACGTGAAATCTTGCAAAATATCATTTTACACAAATTTCTCATTTGTTTTGGTTTTTTCCAAGAATACTTTCCAATTGTTTAGAGTTTCTAGTTAGATCGCTTAAATTTGGTAATTATAGTCGATCATGGGCTATTTTTGACATTAGTTTTTGGTTATTTGAAGTTGATGTACAATTTGAATCTTACCTTGTATCCTTAGAGGGTGTTTGGATAGGGAAAAAGATGGTGTTTATTGTTTATTACTTATTAAAATAAGCTAATTTTAATAAGCATCCCCTTATTGTTTATTGCTTATTGATTATTCCCACTACAAACACTTTTGCGAATACGACTTATTTCCACCGCAATAAACTAATAATAAGTTATAAGCTAATTTATCCAAATACCCTCTTAGATATAGTGGATGTAATTATAGACATGGTTTTGAAAATCGGGTTGGACCGGTCGGTTGAACCAAGAACCGATCTGGTTATCAGTTTTTTGACATCCAAAAACCGTTTGTAAGTGAATCGGTAAGAAATGATCCAATCACGGAAAAAAAACGGTTCAACAAGCCAGAAACCGATTTTTTTAAATATATATTTTTTAAAAGTATCACGATATAATAAATAGAAAAATAATAATTAAGAGAACTTTTTATGAAACATGCGTTTTATATTATTTTAAGGTTTTTTGTTTTATGTTTTATGTATTGTTTTTTTTTGTATTTTGTATTATTTTTTATAAATTATAATTATAATGTAATAATGAGGATTTCAAAATTTTGAAACGATCCGACTAGTTGAACTATCAAAATGATAAGATGACCGGTTCAGTTACTAGTCCTGGTTTTCAAAACAATATGTACACTATATGTGTATATATAAAAAATATCTTAGTATTGTTAATGTGTGATTTGAAATTTGATACTCCGAATGAACAACCTGAAACAAAGGGAGGAAAGTTGACACTATATTGTGTCTATGATAAGTCTATGGAATAGACTTACGATATAGATAATGCATTAAACTTATTAGAGTTTGATGGACTAATGGACTGACACATCATAAATTTACTTACAATACAACTTATATTAATTTTCCTATAATGTACTGAACTCAATAGAGTTCAATGGAATATATATTTAATAGTTAAAAGGTTTCATTTTTCCTATTAAAGAGTTCAATGATCATTAAACTCTATATCTATTGAATACAAACATGACATTCTATAATGATAGATCTTAATCCATTAAATGCCAATAAGATATGTCAACTCATTTAACTCTCCCATTGAACTATACATTATGAATGCTCGTATGAGAGCCGATGTAAACACTTTCAAAACAATCGAGTAATAAAAAAGTAATCAGGTTCATCATACATATAAACGTAAGTTACATCGACTCTGAACCACAATCAATTTTTTATGTCGGTTTTATTGGATATAATTTTGATTTCTTGCATAACTATTTTTACAATTTGTGCCCAAACAAATATCGTGCAAAAGATAATATTGTGGTCGAGACTTGAGACTGTTGGGAGGTGGATATTGGAAACATGATCTTATCTTTTTCTCCCGCCACTCGTTTCTTCCCCATAATCTTAAGAACAAATCGATACGAATTCGAAGAAATTCTCCATATAAAAGGTAAGGAAGCGATAGACCTCTGAGTTTTCAGTTGCATTCAGCCATGGCTTCCAATGCAGCTCTGGCTTCCACAAGAATCCCCACAATCACCAGGCTTCCCTCCAAACCCTCCCTCTCAACCTCTTTCCCTTCCCAATGTTCCACCAAGGTCTATCTCTCCCCCACTCTCCATTAATCGAATCGATACGTTTCTAATACCACCGTGTGTATAACTGTATATGTATGTATGTATGTATATTCAATTTTGACTTTGATCATCGGTGATTTTCAGAGATCGGAAGTGGCTGAATTCTCCGGGCTCCGATCCAGCGGGAGTGTGACCTACGCCAAGTATGTCAAGGATTCATCCTTCTTCGACGTCGTGTCTGCCCAATTTACCCCTAAGGTTTTCTTTCTCTTCCACTTATGTATATGGATTAATGTATACGATGAGCTTTTGATTCAAATAATCAACGCAACTGTGCAATTGGGTTTATTTAGATCAAATTATATGAGGAAAGTACCCTTGATTTGTATTTGTTTGGTGATTTGAAACGAAAAAAACATTATGAATCAGGCTGCAGGATCAGCAATTGCTAAGGTCGAGACAGTTGCGAAACTGAAGGTAGCGATCAACGGATTCGGACGTATCGGCCGGAACTTTCTCCGGTGCTGGCATGGCCGGAAAGACTCCCCACTCGAAGTTGTAGTTGTCAACGACAGTGGTGGTGTCAGGAACGTAAGTCAACATTACCACATTTAAAGCAAAGGTTACAAGTTCCCAATGCTTGATTACAAGCTTTTCAACATTTGTGGGTTGTGACACGTGCAGGCTTCTCATTTGTTGAAATATGACTCAATGTTGGGTACCTTCAAAGCCGATGTTAAAGTAGTCGATAACGAGACAATTAGTGTCGATGGAAAGCAAATTAAGGTTGTTTCTAGCCGAGACCCACTCAAACTTCCATGGGCCGAAATGGGCATCGACATTGTTATTGAGGTATATCTAACACAAATCTTTAACCATAATATCTAAGCTATTTTTATTGTTTAGTTATTATAATTATATTTTGTCAATGAAAGTCAATCGAGTTTTACAATATTTGTTATCATTTTGAAACATACTATAGGTTAAAATAATCACAATATAAACTATTTTAGAAAAAAAAAAATTGTCAAATATGAATGAAAAAAATAGAAATATAACTTTAACAAGGAAATCGTCGAAATATAATGACTTTGATGTATTTTGTCATAAAATAAATGAGTGAATTTTATCTGACAATTAGGGTACTGGAGTGTTTGTGGACGGGCCAGGTGCTGGCAAGCACATCCAAGCCGGTGCTAAAAAAGTTATTATCACTGCACCCGCTAAAGGTGCCGATATTCCAACATATGTTGTTGGTGTTAACGAACAAGACTATGACCATGATGTCGCCAACATTGTCAGGTCCGTTTTTATATCGGAAAAGATAAACTGTTAAACTGTATCACTGACGATTTAATTTTGAAAATTTGATCGTTACAGTAACGCTTCTTGCACCACCAACTGCTTGGCTCCTTTCGTGAAGGTATTGGACGAAGAATTCGGTATGTATACGCTTCATTGACTTGTACAGTACAACTCGTTATGCATCTATAGAAAATTTGTCAATTTTTAAATTTTTTTTTTTTAATCCACAGGTATCGTGAAGGGAACAATGACTACAACTCACTCGTACACCGGTGACCAGGTACATGATTTAATGTCTAAAGACTAAAATACCCTTATTAATAAGGAAGATGTTAGGTGTACTAATTGCTTTGAGAGTTGTACATTTGCAGAGGCTACTGGATGCTTCACACAGGGACTTGAGGAGGGCTAGAGCTGCAGCCTTGAACATCGTCCCAACCAGCACCGGTGCAGCCAAGGCGGTGTCGTTGGTGCTTCCGCAGCTGAAGGGCAAGCTGAACGGAATCGCGCTTCGTGTTCCGACGCCTAATGTTTCAGTGGTTGACCTTGTCATCAACGTCGCTAAAAAGGGGCTCACGGCGGAGGACGTCAATGGGGCTTTCCGGAAAGCGGCGGACGGGCCGTTGAAGGGAATCTTGGCTGTTTGCGACGAGCCGCTCGTGTCGGTTGACTTTAGGTGCTCTGATGTTTCGTCGACTATTGACTCGTCGTTGACGATGGTTATGGGAGATGATATGGTTAAGGTTGTCGCTTGGTACGACAATGAATGGGGATACAGGTATGACAAATCGTTCGAAATTGTTTATTTTTCTTCAAATTAGGGTTTTCTGGTTCTTAAAAGATGATGAAGAAGAAGAAGCTAATGCGCGTTGTGTTTTTGTTGATGTAGTCAACGTGTGGTGGATTTGGCACATTTAGTGGCGAGCAAATGGCCGGGGGAAGAGGCAACTGGAAGCGGAGATCCGTTGGAGGATTTTTGCAAGACGAATCCTGCGGAAGAGGAGTGCAAAGTTTACGAATTTTGATTTGCTTGAAATATCGTCATTATGCAGCATCATGTATTTTGTAAATTTAACATTTGAACGACCATGAAATTTGATTTCAAATTTTGATTTCATGGTGAAAACAAAGGGCATACTTTTTTACATATCTTTATAAATATCTAAATTATCATATTCTATTCCTGATTCCTCTTAGGCTTTTTGTGCCAATAACACACACACACCAGTAACATAAAATCTAACAATTAAATGATAAATCATCAAAATGGTTCATACTTTATAAATCACATGGTACTAATATTACCCTAAATCACAACTCTTGTCCTATACCCTAAACACATACATGTAGGGTTGCAATGAGGGACGAGAATTTGGTTCGAAAACCCGAAACAATCTGAAACCCGAACCGAACCGAATTAGGCCCGAATAAGCAATTCGATTCGGTTTTCGGGTATTTATATGAGGCTTATCTAGTTTTCAAGTATCTATATGAGACTTATTCAGTCATTGTATTCTATCGTTACCCAATACTCACGTAACCTGGAAAAAAAAAATCAACGAAATCAGTCATCCAACACCAAATTGACGACATGAATCTTTGATCGATCAAGGTTTTTCTCATCCCTAGTTTGAACATCATTCATTCACGGTTATAAGAAGAAAAAAAAATGTCCTTGCATCTGCCTTGATTGGTTCACGTACATAAGAAAAAAAAATTATCTTCATCCTCATTTTCTAGTTTCTATTGTGACAAATCCCATTCAAGTCATGGAAAATTGAGTTCCAAATCAAGAAACTCAAGTAAGTATTGGTATCTTAATCTACTATTCAATCTTTTAATGTGTTATTATATATGTTACTCATTGAAATGTTAATCTATTACTCAATCTTTCAATATGGTGTTATGTATGTTATTAATTGAAATTGAATGTGTTATGTTAACATTTAACGTTTTCTCTATAAGTCCAAGCAATGGGGATTTTGACCTTGAATGAGAGAATTTAATGGAGAAAGAAACCATATTTGTTCTTTTATTTGTTTCATTCCATATTGATGAATTTATTTAAATGTTAAAGAATCTATATTGTTATTTAACTATGTTAAAATGATTTTGTTATTGTGCTTTAGATTGATGATGAAGATGTGTTTGTCGATAACACTCAAGTTGAAGGAACAAGTCAAACAACAAAGCCAAAGAAAAGGAAATATGTCCAAATGGCGGCTTGTTGGGCCAATTATGATGTAGCTCATATTGACAAAGTTAGACTTAGGGGTCGTTTGATAGTTGTTGATTGAGAAAGTCCTGACTGGGAAAGATCTATCTAAGTAATAAATTATGACTGAGTAAGCGACCATTTTGTTTGATTGTATATCTGATTGAATATGCCGACTAATACAAAATGACCATTTTACCGTTATGCTCTATATTATAATAATAATAATAATAATAATAATAATAATAATGTATACACCTTTTGTTTATTTTCCTTGTTATTTCTTAAATTGATATCCAAAAAATCGTGTACACATATTTGCTTCTTTTTTTCTTTCTCTTTCTTACTGCTTCTTTTCTTTCTCTTTCTTTTTCTTTTTCTTTTTCTTCATCTTTTCCCAGTTGCCCTCAAAGAGTCAAAGAGGCAAGCCATATACCCAAACATAAAACACCCATTTCCTTGGTGGTGCTTGTTTTCTTTTTTCGGCGACATCAAAGAGGCAACAACCTCTTGCCCCTAAATTTCCGGCAAGATGAAAGAGGCAATAGCCTCTTCGTGTTTCGTTGGGTCAAGAGAGAAGAATCAAGAGGAGCTGTCGGAGCAGCCCTCATCGACCGATCTGCCATCATCGGTCCCAATCTGCTCCACCCTTCTTTCCCCTTTGGCCCTTTCGTGTTTCTTTTTGCTAATTCTCCACCGGACTACCTCGTTTGCTTCCTCTGTTCGTGTTTCTTTTTTCATTTCCAGGGATTAAGTTAATGGATATGAAAAAAGACGACGTGAGGGTGGTGTTGGTTCAAGGGCAACTATGGAATCAATTTCACACTTTCTCAGTCAGCAAGTTTTTTTTGTGATGAGCGAGTAAGACATTGGCGACCCAATCATATGCAAAACTCAAGTATATCAAACAGATAGAGTTAAGCGAGTCAGACATTTTTGTTTGACCTGACTCAATTAGAGCAAAATCAAACAGGGCCTTAGCAAATGCAAAAAGTGTGAAACATTGCTCAAAACTGAATCCGGCAGAAACGATACTTCTAGTATGATTATGGAAAGATGTAAAATGGACCTAAACAATTTAGAAAAGAAACTAGAAAACCAAACCACTTTAAATTTCAAAAAAAAATGAAAATGAGGAGAATAGTATTGGGACTTGGAAGCATGATGAGAAAAGAATTAAAAAAAAAAGCTTTGTTAAACTTATTTGTAGTTAGAGAATTACCGTTCAAGTTTGTAGAGAATGAATAATTTATTGAGTATAGAATTGCATTGAACGGGAAAGTATTTTTGCAATGTAGAACTATAATTTCAAATAGAGTCACCGATTACTTTCTTGAAGAAAATGTTAAGTTGTTTAAGTTCTTTAGTAATCCCTTAAGTAATGTGTATTTGTCCACTGATTGTTGGACAAGCTCATGTCAAAGGTCGACCTATATGGTGGTCACGACCCACTTTATTGACGAATATTAGGTCATGCACAAAAGAATGATCAACTTTAAATCTCCAAATAGTCATTAGGGAGAAGACATTAAACGTAAGTTGTTGACTTGTCTTTAAGAGCATGGTATCAATAACGTAATGACCATAATCGTAGACAATGCTAGTGCGAATGATAAAGCAATCGAAATTCTAATGAAAAAATTATCAAACTTGTATGATGGGGAAAAACAATTACATGTAAGGTGTATGGCCCACATCTTTAACCTTATTGTTAGGGATGGGTTTGATCAACACCAATCTAGTATCAAGTGCATGCAAAAGACCGTTAGATACATTCGAAATTCTACACAATGGATTCAAATGTTTAAAGAATGCATTGAAGAACTAAATGTGGAATCCAAGAAGTTTTTGTGCAAAGATAGCCTAACCCGATGTAACTCCACATACGAGTTATTAAATATTGCGATGGAGTTGGAGAAGGTTTTCGGCATGTTTGAAGTCAAAGGTAATTTTATATTCCATTCCTTTGTGTGTGTGTTTAATTTCAGCATGTTTGCAAATTTGTAGCCAACTTTGAAGTGTCATAACATCTACGATTAGCTTGATTTTTTTCCAACTTGTAGTTCACAGATTAAACTACAATTTACACTATTTAAATGCGTTATTTGGTTGTATATTCTGCGAGATACATGCCTCTAAACATAGGGTATTAAATCTGAGTTTTTTTTTTTGTTTCAATCATGTTTGCAAATTTTTAGCCGACTTTGAAGTATCATAAGGTCTTCGTTATTTATCCGATTAACTTGATTTTTTTTCCAGATTGTAGTTCACAACTTAAACTACAATTTACACTATTTAAATGCATTATTTGGTTGCATATTCAATGGGATACATACTCTTAAATAAGGGGTATTAAAGCTGTTTAAAAAAAAAACTAACATTTACTTTATTATAATAGATCCTACATATGTTCGAGATATTTTGACCCCTGCAAAAGAAGATTTCAACATTTGTAGAGTTATAGTTGGATTTCTTGAGAAATTCAATGTGAAAATTGACATAGTATCGAAGCCAAAGAAACCGATGACACATCTTTTTTTTTTTGGAGAAATATGTGATGTGTACAAATACATTAAGGAATGGGCGGGTAGTCTCCAATTTTGTTTGATCGGGAAGGGCATGATTGAAACATACAATATGTATTGGGGCGACCTTGAAAAATTAAATGATTTTTTGTATTTTGTGGTCATATTAGATCCACGATTCAAGTTTGATTTTCTTCAACAAGCCTTTGAGAAGTTCATTAAGTTGAAGAATACAAAAAAAGATCTCATGCTCAACTCGGAAGTCATTTTGAAGGCTAAGGCCTTAATACGAGGTCTTCAACTATTGGGGTTCAAAGGTTGTGATGTGTCGAAATTATCTTAGTTGTTTGTAATGTCGAATGTTTGATTGTATTTTATTTTAAGGACTATTTTTTTGTAAAGAAGCTTAGATGTAGAAGTCCTTCTACTTTTTGTGCTTTCAGTTTTCCCTATAAATATGGGAAGGATACTTTTAGAGAAAAAGAACTTTTCCATGATTGTAATCATATTCTCTTTTAACCTCTTGTATTCAACTGATCAAGCAATACAACGTGCCATATATATTATATTTAGATCTCTTGTTTTAAATCATTTCTTACTCTGATTTTGTTTGATTACTCAATTCAATCGGAATTACATTTGGTATCAGAGCAGGAATCAAACTGTTTTGATATGATTTTCTCCTGTTACAAATTTTTTTTGAATCTCATTCTAGATTCAAAAGTTTCCGCACTTTTCATCCTGAAAATCTTTGTAGATCTTCAGTTCTGATTTGATTTTGCATTTCGATTGACGAATCGAGTGTTCGGTGTTCATTTGTTGTTTGATTCGTCGTGTTAATCTCAAATTTCTCAAGCTTTTCTCTGAAATCGTCCGTACATCAATGTCGAACTTCAACATGAATACCATGAATTCTTTCTCTTATTTGCTAGGATCTTCAACTAAGATTCATATGCTTATTCTAGAGTATTACAATCAATGGGCAGATCTAATGGAGGATTACTTGAACGAACTCGATGAAGAGCTTTGGAAGTGCATTACTGATGATGTTCATCCATCTCCATCTATTCAAAGCATTGGAAATTCTGCATCAACTCAAAGTGTTACTGAACAAACTGAAAGGCTACAGAAGAATGAGAAAAGATACATGAGAGAGCTTCATGGTGCTCTTCCTTCTGTGGTGTATAATTACGTTCGAACCTGCAAAAACTCAAAACAAATCTGGAATACACTGAACGAAAAGTACCAGGGTAATGAGAAGATCAAAATCAGTTCAGTCAAGCAATGTCTGAATGAATTATGGGAGTTTAAGCAAAAAGATGGCGGGTTGATTGAATTGTACTATGATCGTCTGAACGAGCTCATCTACAAGTGTAATAGGTATGGAATTACGAGGTCTGCTATGGAATACAACCTTACTTTCATAATAGGGATTCGAAAGGAATGGAGGAATGTGAGTTTGATGATGAAGACACAACAAACCTTCGATTTTTTGACTCTTAACGATCTTTACAATCTACTACAAGCTCAAGAAACTGAAGTGAATGAAATAGCTGAAGAGTCAAAGATCAATTTGGGAGGTCCTTTAGCATTGGTTTCGAAGGTATCCGGAAGAGCAGATGAGATGTAAGCTACTGAGAAGGGAAGTTTTAAAGATGAAGTTCTTATCGTCAACTCTGATGACGAAGCAATGGCTTTTTACTCCAACAACAGAGTAAATAAGTTTTATAAGAAGCCATTCAAT